AGAAAATTGGATGTGATGAGGAAGCGCCCATCTTAGTTGTTTTTTGTTACTTTCACTTCAGGCCTGTATTTTATTTCTTCCCGGGTTTCCGCTCTCTCTTTTATCTACCGAGATGAGCAAAAAATCCCTCCCGCTTTTGTCGCGGATCCCCTCTTTCCTGGGACCTTACCCCGCTCTTGTCGCGGATTCCCCCTTTTCCTGGGAACTTACCGGTGCACCACCCTGACCGCTGAAAGTTCTGAATCCTGTCCAGCCCCACGTTGGGCACCACTTGTCGCCACCGCCTCGACCCGCAAGGATGACGCGACAACAGGTTGTTCTCTCAGGCGGTTTATTCAGGACCTTGTTTGCAGCTTCTTCTCTCCTGCTTCTCCTGCCCGCTTCTTCGTGCTTCTCGTACCCTCCGCCTCTGTGCTCCGGTTATAAGCCTCCTGGATGGCCAATCTCGAAGCTCTACGTGGCATATACTGATAGGGCTGCAAACACGGAAGCAAACTAGGAGCCAAGTCATAGCCATATAAGGAGTTGTTTTTTACAGAGAGCACTCGTCACCGGGAGCACAGAAGGCGGGACCCAGCGCCATCTTAGGTCGGAGCCGGGCCAGGCGGCCTCGCCATTTTGGGGGCTGTACCTTGAACCAAGGAGCAACAATGTTGCTTTTGCAGCCGTCTTTGGTCGCGGCTCCCGCAGCTCTCCACAGACAACAATAAAGAAAAACACACAACATACAAGAACTCCATTTAAAGGCCAAACAACAAATCATGAGCATATAACAAGGAGAAGATGTGCAAGTTGAAACCATAGAACACATTTAATAAAACAATACCAAGACATTCTACCACTTTTGGGTAGGATGGTTATCAATGGACAAAGGGCTTTTAGGACACCAAACAGACATGACAAGAAAAGAACTTCCCATATCATAATATAATTAAAGGTGTTACATAAACAAAACAAGGAAAAAATATTGAGGGCTTCAAGAAAAGAAATGTCGAAGCCAGGCACCGGTGGCTCATGCCTGTAATCCTAGCTACTGAGGAGGCTGAGATCCCAGGATCACAGTTCAAATCCAGCCCAGGTAGGAAAGTCCATGAGACTCTTATCTCTAGTAAACCACTCTGAAAACCAGAAGTGGCACTGTAGCTCAAGTGGTAGAGCGCTCGCCTTGAGCTGAAGAGCTGAGGGACAGCATACAGGTCCAGAGTTTGAGCCCCACAACCAACAAAAAAGAAAGAAAGAAAGAAAAAGAAATATCAAGTCATTATATAAATGAAGTTCACACTTATGAAGGCCTTCAGTAAAAGTTCAGGGAAATCAGGAATAACCTGTTGAGGAAACTCAATGTCTTGGGAAAACAAGAACAGACCAGTTCCAAAATTAGGAGAAATATAGAAAGAATCATGATCCGAGATAAAATTAATGAAATGGAAGCAATAAATATATGAAGGGACAGATGAAACACAGTTTTGGTTCTTTGACAGAATAAATGTAATGGACAGACTCTTGACCAAACTGAGCACAAAAAAAATGAGAAATCACATAAAAAAAATTGGAGACAAAAATGCTGTGGCTCATGCCTCTAATCCTAGCTACTCAGGAGGCTGAGATCTGAGCATCATGGTTCAAAGCCAGCCTGCGGAGGAAAAACTATGAGACTCTTTTATCTCCAATAAACCACCAGAAAACCAGGCTCAAGCAGTAGAGTGCTAGCCTTGAGCTGAAGAGTTGAGGGACAGTGCCCATGCCCAGAGCTCAAGTTCCATGACCAACAACAACAACAACTAATCAACCTAAATGGATCAATAATGTGCAAGAATTATCAAAGAGTTAAAAAAAAAAACTCCCAACAAATTAAAGCCCAAGTGAATAGAGTCACTATTTCATTGTATGCACTCATTAAAAAACTAACATCAATATTCCCCAAACTATTTCATAAAATACAAATTATTACCTTCAAGTTTATTTTACAAATTTTATATTGCTCTGATTCAAATAGATAAGGGCATAAAACAAAAGAAATACTACAGGGAAATTTCCATGATGAGTATAGATGAAAACTTGTCTCTAAAATTCTTGTAGCTAGGTACCAGTGGCCCATGACTGTCATCCTAGCCAATCAGGAGGCTGAGATCTGAGGGCTGAGGTTCCAAGCCATCAGGCAGGAAAGCTGTGCGACTCTTATCTCTAATTAACCACCAAATAGTCAGGGTTCTAGTGGTACAGCCCTAGCCTTGAGCAAAAATGCTAAAGGGTAGTACCCCTGAGTTCAAGCCTTAGTACTGGCACACAAAAAATTCTTGCAAACCAAATTGAGAAACAATTTACAACATGATAAATTGTAATCAAATAGGCTTCATTTCAAAATGTAAGAATGGCTAGATAAATTTGAATTGATAAATATAATAAAGGGCATAATCAAATGCATTGTAACATAGATATCGCCACTTGGGAAAAAAGCCTCTGACAAAATCTAATATCCTTTTCTGAAAGAATCCCCAAAGAGAGTAGAAATATAGTTTCCCCTTCAATATACTAAAAGCAATACATGATAGACCTATAATCAATAAAATCAAATCCTCTAAAACCAGGAATGAAATAATGATGACCTCTAGGCATTGATGGCTCACACCTGTAATCCTAACTAGCTACTCAGGAGACTAAGATCTGAAGATCCAGGTTCAAAGCCAGCCCAGGCAAGAAAGTCCATGAGACTTCTTTCCAATTAGCCACCAGAAAACCAGAAGAGGTGCTATAGCTCAAAATGGTAGAGTGCTATCCTTGAGGAAGAAAAGGTCAGACACAGCACTCAGGCCTTGAGTTCAAGTCACAGGACAGGTATACACACACACACATATACACACACACACACACACACACACACATAAACAAAACAAAAAGATGCTGGACATAAATGGCCCATCCCTTTAATCTTAGTTACTCAGGAAACTAAGATCTATGGATTGTGATTCAAAACCAGCCCAGTCTATGAGACTTTTTATCTACAAGTAATCATCAAAATGCCAGAAGTGGAGCTGTAATGTAAGTGGTAGAGCACTAGCTGTGAACAAACAAGCTCAAGAACAAAACCCAGGCTTTTATTTCAAGCTTTAGGACTCTCTCTCTCTATCTCTCTGTCTCTCTGTCTCTCTCTCTCTCTGTCTCTCTCACTCTCTCACACACACACACACATAGTAGATTAAAGATGTTAATGTAAACCCTTAAATTTGAAACTACTAGAGAAAACATAAAGAACCTGCTTTAAGATAAATTACAATTCAAATATAATTTCAGACAATTACAGTGCAAAAAATGGTCTTTCCTTTTAATTAGTTGAAATCTATCATCTGAATTACTTTAATATCTCAATTTTTAATTGAGTAAACAATACAAAATAACCCCAGCATACCTTGATATATTATTCTGATATTGGATGTGTTTGAAGGCCGGACTCATATTCTCTAAAGCCAACAGATGGCCCAGGATTAATGTGTCCTTGGAGCCCATTCTCAAAATAATAATAATAAGAGCAGTCGAGGGCTTTCACGCCCAGATGTGGAAGATACCACCACGACTCCTCCCTAATGAATTTAGGCCCAATACTTTGTTGAAGAGGCTGTTGGGCTACAAGCTGGAAGTGTTTGGTGGTGGTAGGGTTAGAACTCCGTGCTTCATGCTTCTTTGGCATAGTCCCTTCTTCTGTCTACCACTTGGGCTACCCTCTAACCTGGCTTTTTGTGGATTGTCTTCAAGATTCAGTCTCATGGTCTTTTCTTCCTAAGATGGCCAGAAATTATGATCCTGTAAATAAATCTATGACTCCTAAATAACTAGTATTATTATGCCCAGCTCAAGTAGTCATTCTTGATAGTGTAAAAATCTAATTTAGGATAGTATCTTTTCTTTACAGTGCCTCATCAGATATTCTCTCCATGATTTAACTGTTTTATTTGTAGAGGTGGGATGGCAATGTAGGTAAAATTTTGTAGCAAGCATTAACTAGTAAGAGCCCTGAACACTACTAGAAATAGTATTCATATACACTCACATCTGCAATAATAACCCTCAGAAAATTATTCTTTTTTTCCCCAAACTGAAAGATATAAGGATTTCTACAACAGGCAACAGTAGAAAATCAAGTTTATTTTTCACATCCTCATACTTATCAAGTGTATATTGAACACTGGACTATAAAGTTACATTCTTCATATTTTTCTCGAACATACTCTTCGTTTTGTTATCTTTTCTTTTCTTTTTTTTTCTTTTCTTTTTTTCTTTTGTGAGTCATGGGGCTTGAACTCTGGGCCTGGGTGCTGTTCCTCAGCTCTTCAGCTCAAGATTAGCGCTCTAACTCTTGAGCCAGTTCTGGTTTTCTGGTGGTTTATTGGAGATAAGAATGTTTATTGAAGATAAGTGTTTCCTACCTGGACTGGCTTTAAACTGTGATCCTGAAATTTCAGCCTCCTTCTGTCTCCTGCTTAGTTTTTCCCCACTGGATAAGTTCCCTAAGCTTCCTTTACCCTCTGTGTTACCCTTCTTGCCACTTTTATGCCTGACATTTCTCTGTGTGTGTGTGTGTGTGTATGTGTGTTTGTGCGCACACGCGCGCGCCTGTCCTGAGCTAGAATGCAGAGCCTGGAAACTGTACTGAATTATTTTTCACTTAAAGGCCATGAACTCAGGCCTTGAGCTCTGTCCTTGGGCTGTTTTACCCAAGGCTAGCTCTCCACTGCTTTCAGCCACAGCTCCACTTCCACTTTTTGAATGGTTAATTGGAGATAAGAGTCTCACAGGGACTTTCCTTAGATCTCAGTCTCCTTAGGAGCTAGGATTACAGATGTGAGCCATGATTGTCCATCTGCCATTTATTTTTTGATGTCTACATTTTCCCACTGCACAGAAAGGCTTTGCATTGAATTTGTCCTTGTGAGAGCCTGGTGCTCCCTCTAATGCCTACCAGTTTCTGACAACTGAAGAGTTTCTTGTTGTTCTTGTGGTTGAAGGTGGTGAGAGCCACCATGAAGGAGGAGCTAGAGGTGGCAAAGAAAAAAGCTTCTGTGCGCGACCTGCTCCATGCTCCCGCCCTGCGTAAGCGCATCTGTCTCTTGGCCTTTGTGAGGTAGGCTTCGCCCCATTACCAATTCAAGAGGCATGATTTGTACTTCTCCTGTTCAGTGGCTCAATATTTGGGAGTGGTCGATTTAGAGATAAAAGGCAGGGGCAACATGCCCACAATTGCTATGGCTAGGTATACCCAAAAGTTTTAAAGACACCCATACAAAACTAATTACATTTATCATGATTATATAACCATGATAACATATTATGTTCATGTTTATGTTTATGACATGCTATGCTTGTCACCAGAGATTGATGCTGAGAAATTTAATCACAACTAGATTTTGATTCTGAGTTTTTCTGTTGGTTAGTTTCCATTACTCCAGGTAAATTTTTGAACAGGTAAGTGAATATATACAGATATATAGAGATATAGATATTTTAACAAATATTTATATATATAAGCTTAAGCCATTCACTTAGAACAATATAAAGGAAAAATATCCATCTGGTCCTCAATACTGCCCTTTGCTCTCCAAAACGGTTAACAACAATGAAGGGCTCTATCAGCATACACCTACTTTATGACGATTTTAAAAAAATATTCACTAGTAGCTGGGCATGAGCAACTCAGCATGCTAACAACGCAGGAGGCTGAGATCACAGTTCAAAGCCAACCTGGGCACGTTCTTATCTCCAATTAGCCAAAAAGCCAGAAGTAGAGCTGTGGCTGAAGTGTCAAAGCTCCAGCTTTCAGAGAGGAAAGAAAAGGAAAGCCCAAGAATATTGCCCAGGTCCCGAGTTCAAGCTCCCAAACTGGAAAATAATAATAACAATAATAATAAGCATTATTATATTTATAAAAATGATAACCACTTGCAAGGAAATACTTTGATAAAAATTATACCTCCATTGGTTTTCAAAAACTGACTATCTGCACTAATGTTGCTGTAATCAATAGGACATAGTCTGTAACTTTATATGTTTTACTCTCTGTTCACTACAGATTTGTAATATACTTGCTCACTTATGGCTTAATACTCAACCTCCAGAACTTGGGAAGTAATACTTTTCTGCTGGTGATTCTCTTTGGTGCCCAGAGCATCCCAACTAATTGTATAACACTTATTGCACTGAATCACCTGGGCCGTCGAATAAGTCAATTTCTTTTCATGTTGTTTACGGGGACCTTCATTCTGGCTACTGCATTGGTGCCTCAAGGTAAGGAAAACACACAGAGTAGAAAAGAAATATCTACCCAATTTTCTCAAGGGTTCATAGATGATGTATTTCTGTAATTGTAAAAATAGAGTTCCAACAATTCCCAGCGACCAATCTAGGCATTTAGCTGACATTCTGACATTCAACAGCAGGGAGAGATTTCCTTCATTACAGTTGATATGTATGTAGGTACAGCTGTCATTTCTGCCAGCTTTCCTCTAGGCCAGCAATAGACATATTAGGTCTACATCTTGTATTTTGGTCCTACTAAGACCACACTAGACTGTCCCTTCTTCTGTCCAGCTCTGTCTTCTTACTTGTTCTTCAGTGACAATTCATATTTCCTAAACTCTGTTTATCCATGTATGAATATCATCACAGGACACCATTTATGTAATTTCAGTTTGGAGAATTATCTCCTGAGAAAGTAGATACTACTTGTCTTCAAATAAAGAAGAAATACAAGTCACAGTTATGGATCACCTCAGACTACCTTAGAGTCAATTTTACAAAATCAAGTGGACATATGTAATGAGAAAGAAAAGTGCAGGTGGTCACCATGTTTTTCTGAACTCACAGAATAGTAGTGTGTTTTGTAAAATCCCAAACTGATGGGCTCAGATCCTCTTACATGTCAGCCTGGACTTCAGTGTGACGCTCTGTCTCAATAATGACTCCAATGTCTCATGCTCTCCTATTGTGGAGAAAACTATTGTTTCTAAACTCTGAAATTCTTACTAAAAGAAGCCTTTACTCAAGATTCTTGACACATCATCATAGATCTAGCTACTCTCCAGGCTTTCCATCCGTGTAGGACTTGCACAGTACTAACCCCGTGTTGTGGGCACATGGGTCATGGCTGTAAACTCCTTGAGGGCCAAGATAGATCCTGCACACACCCTCAGCAGTTTCTCACATGACAGTTCAACATTCTGCTAAGGACAGAGGAGACACTGGGCAGAAAAGAGAAAAGTGAACTCTGCTTCAATTCCTCAACCTCTGTCCCTCTCTAGCAAATGTCAGCGATGCAAAGAGACTGAATACAATCATTCAGAATCAGTGATCCATCCTAAACCAAACTGTGTAGAGAAGGCACATTTCTCACTTGTTATCCACTGCAGGAACTCTGCCTCTGTTTAGTTCCTCTGTGATACACTGTAACCCTGTACACAATTCCAATCAAGGTGTTTGCGATTATGAGCAGGAAATGCTGATTGTGGCAGCTGGGACTTCCTGACTCTCTCTGGTTCTTCCTCTCTCCAGAAATGCAAACCCTTCGTCTGGTTCTCTCAACTCTGGGAGGAGGATTTGGGAGTGCTTCCCTTTCCAGTTTGCTAACACATTCAAATGAACTACTCCCCACCGTAGTCAGGTACAGAACCTCATCTGTTTGCTGTTAGGATCAGACCTTTTTCAGCACCTTCATTCTTCAAACTAATTAAAAAAATAAAAAGGGGGGGGCAGGATATTTCACAAAGGCAAATCATTGCAATGAAAACAACTCCAGCCACAGTTGAGTGAAAGCTTGCTTTTGCCAAGGTACTGTGAAATCCACTGACTATCATTCCTCTAGGCCTCTTACAATATTCTTGATGTTGTTTGGATTTTTTTTGGTCAGTTGTCGGGCTTGTACTCAGGGCGTGGGCACTGTCCCTGAGCCTCTTTGTGCTCAAGGCTAAGGCTCTACCCCTTGAGCCACAGTGCCATTTCCAGTTTTTGAGTGGTTAATTGGAGAGAAGAGTCTCATGTGGACTTTTCTGTCCAAGCTGGCCTTGAACCATGTTCCTAAGTACCTAGGATTAGAGGCATGAGCCATTGCTGCCCTACTCCTTTAATCCTTGGAATCACTTAAAAGTAGATGCCATGAAGAATGGCATTGCTAAATGATACACAGATGTCTATGTATCTGTGAGGAAATGCTAGCAAAGCAACAGGAATTTCAAAGGCTAGAGTCAGTCCACAATCTCCATATGTCTAAATACACTGCTTCCTCAATCCCATATTGTAAGATAAGTCACAAGTGCCAAAGTCCACGTGAGTATTTCTAACATTTTGTTTCTGTATTGTGCTTTGTGCTCTAAGGGCCACTGCTTTAGGAATCATTGGACTTGCTGGTAGCCTTGGGTCCTCACTGGCTCCCCTGTTGATGATTCTCGCAGTTTATTCTGCTCCCTTGCCCTGGATCATCTATGGTGCCTTCTCTGTTCTTGGTGGCTTTATAGTCCTCCTCCTTCCTGAAACCAGGAACCAACCTCTGCCTGACTCCATCCAAGATGTGGAAAATGAGTGAGTTAAACTTCTGGCTGTTCCTCATGAAGTCCTGTGCTATGGGTCTGGGAGGAGGAAGGCCAAACACCATTCAGGGCCATGGTTTCCCAACAGACCTAGAGAGGCTCTTTCTAACAAGTCAGTGCCATTGGTACAGGAAGTATCATATCTATTATGGTTTAGTTTCATCTTATCCATTTATGTGTTTTGTGTTAGGAGGCTTAGTAGATTACACAGAGGGTAACAGCAAGACAAGTACTAAGTAAGGGAAATTTCCTTCTCCCCTATATATCCCAATATGACCCTATCCATTTTAGTGTTGGAAACACACCCCTCCAGTGTCACAAAATGAATAGATACCCAAAAGATAGAGTTTGTCAAGGCATTTTACTTCTGTATACAAGGGTGATCTGCCACTCTCCCCAGAGCTAGGCCGGTGCCCTGGGCAGAGTGGCCAGCTCAGTGTGGCCTAACCCAAAGGGTAATGCTGCCCCTTCTCCTTTTTGCTAAGGAGTCAGGCTCACATTTTCTTTACAATCGGTTACCAGGGTGATGGGGTAATAAATACAAGGAAGTTAGAGAACACGCTAGGCATCAGTGAAAGATCGCTACTAGGGAATGGGCAAAGGTATACATTGTTCTCATCACAGCTGGCTGGAAGTAGGGTTGGGAATAGGGACACTGCTGATGGTCACAGTTGGAGGAGGCTGGTAAGTCAGCACAGAGTTCCCACTTTAAGGAAGAATGTCTAATCTTCAACTCCATTGGTAAGGACTCATACTTTTGACATTGCTGGCAGTTTACAAACAGAAGGTAGTTACAATTGAAATGAACAAGCAAATAATTCCAGAATATATTAGTATAAAGTGGTTACAAGTGAAGGGTCCCACACATCCATTCCAAGGGACTGGCAGGTAGGCATGCTCAGGAGAAAGATTATTACAAGGTTCATTAGAGGAGCCATATTTGCCCCAAGCAGGAGCACGTGGCACCTGTCCCTATCCAGGTAGCAGGAGGGTCTGAGGGTCTGAAGTGAGGTGATGGGAGCCCAGGTGGAACTGGGCAGAGAGAGGAAGGGGCCAGCTGTAAGGAGGGAACTGCAGGGATGGGAGCGGCTCAGGTCTGGGTAGAGCTGAGGACCAAAGTTGAGCATAATACTAACATTCCCCACCGTGTTGTTTAATACAAACGGGGGTAGCAGGCCAGGGGGTGTGGGCAGAGGTTGCTTCCTCTGGAGCTACTTCCTGTTGTAAAGGGTGAAGTCGTCAGAGGTCCCTTTTCCATTGCTGGGCCAGGAAGCATGTGCTTGACAATGGTTGGTAAAGATCCTCCTTTTTGAAAGACAATAGTTATCTAAATGTAAGACAGAATTAATATAAGGCAAAAAAATTGTTGTTAGTACCCCAAGAGAGGAGTATGTCTTGCAGGGATTGATTTCCAGAAGGGACAATCAAAGACCTGAAATTGCCTTTTCTGTTTTGGACTGGAAATATAGCATGGTACCTGACTCCAGGCATCCTGGAGGAGGGAGAATAAGACTTTTCCTGCTTGGATCACAGTAATCTGAGGAGGAGGTAGCAGAGATATTTAAAGGCACCAGAACCAATAGGTGTCTTAGGCTCTTTTGGCTACTTTCTGCTGGCCTGGGAGCATCAAGGAATCCCTGGAGCTGGGTCTTTAGGGTCCAGGTCCTGTTGAAAGAGACTTTTAGAAAGGTCAGGCAAAAGCTGACAAGGTGGCACGGTCAGTAAACATGAATGGCATAGGAGAACACACATTGGCCATGGGCCGGAAAAGTTAAGCGCAGTTGTGGCACATTACAGGGAAGGAGGAATAACTGGGCTCAGGGCAGGAAGGTGGCAGGAATGGGGTATCTAGGGTCTTTTGGGCAACTGGGTAGGGGGGAGCATAATGGACTGGTTGGGAATACCAGTCAGAAGCTATTATAAATACAAATAGCAGGTAACAAAGGCAAGACTAGGGTTGGGAAGGTGGCTCAGTGGTAGAGCGCTTGCCTTGCATGCCTGAGGCCCTGGGTTCCATTCCTCAGCACCACATAAGCAAAAAGAAAAAACCCAGAAGTGGTGCTGTGGATCAAGTGGTAGAGTGCTAGCCTTGAGCTGAAGAACTGAGGGACAGCGCCCAGGCCCAGAGTTCAGGCCCCACAACTGGACCAAAATAAATAAATAAATCGGCTGTTTCAAGTTTTGGAATTTTAGTGGTATTACTTTGCCCAATTATGATGGAACCACGTGATCAGTTTTAAATACAAATCTTTGTCAACAACAAGAAACTTCTAGTAAACAGGAGACATGAACAGATACATGGTATAGCATAATGGCGCCACTGGACAAGTCAGCCTGGGGAGGGTCACAGAATCAAGTTGAGTAGATGCAAAACAGCAGCTGAATCACCATGATGCCAAGATGGTGCATCCACCACATGCTCCATGCTAGTGAGAAGATTTAACAGAATGTAATCATCTCCATGCTTACTAATAATCAAAACCCTTTTATCTAAACTTTTTATTTAAAACAATGTAATAATTTTATACACTTTTGGTAATATCCAAACTTGTTGACCTTTTTATGGAATTTAAACTTAAACTCATCCATTTTTTTAATTTAATGAGTATAAACAAGCTATTTCTGGGCTACATTCTTTCAGGGATTTACCAAGGCATTTAGTTTATCTAATACTTGTATGGAAGAGTGCTGGGGGGGAGGGGATTCCCAGGGGCCCAAAATTTGACCAACTTTGACCCACCCAGTACTCAACTCTAGTTTTGTCCCAATTGTTTAGAGCATTTTACCTATCAATTGACCTTTGGATACCTTTAGTTGGAAGAAGGGAGAGGTTACCAGAAGCTAATTTTAGAACAGCAAATGCAGAGTTTAAGGGGAGAAAGTGTTTTACTTGCCCGAGAACTTACACTAGTGGAGTTTTAAATTTGGGGCCAAATTTGACTCTGATGGGGGCTCAGCAGTGCCCCCCTCCCAAGGCCCAGGTGGCCTTAATGTAAAGAAATTAAGAGCCGGGCGCTGGTGGCTCACGCCTGTAATCCTAGCTACTCAGGAGGCTGAGATCTGACAATTGCGGTTCAAAGCCAGCCCGGGCAGGAGAGACCATGAGACTCCTATCTCCAATAAACCACCAGAAAAACCAGAAGTGGCACTGTAGCTCAAGTGGTAGAGCGCTCGCCTTGAGCTGAAGAGCTCAGGGACAGCGCCCAGGCCCAGAGTTCAAGCCCCATGACCAACAAAAAAAGAAAGAAATTTAGTTGGTGTCCTTTCCATGGTAGTAGTGGCCAAGAGCCAAGTGCTCGCCACAGAGCATCCCCTGTGGTGGTGAAGTACCCCGTTTTCGGATGCCCCCTCACAGACAGCCAGAGACCACGATCAATGCAAACAGCAAAGAGTCGTTTATTGCAAGTTCGAGCTTGGTCTTCCACGCACTCGCTAACCGATGATGCTAAGAGGCTAAGAGGTTAGCGCGAGCAAGTTTACAAAAGCGAAATCAGCAGTTAGCAATTGTAAAATGTAACTCTAATTTTTAATCTTTCAGAAGGGAGTGGTGAATAAAGGGTTTCTTTTTTTTTTCTTTTTGTTCTTGTTGTGCTTGAACTCAGGGTCTTGGCACTATCCATGAACTCTTTTGCTCAAGGTTAGCACTCTACTACATTGAGCCACAGCACTACTTCCAGTTTTCTGGTAGTTAATTGGAGCTAAGGGTCTGAACAACTTTCCTGCCCAGGCTGGCTTTGAAATGGGATCCTCAGATCTCAGCCTCCTGAGTAGGTAGGATTACAGGCATGAACCACCAGCACTAGCTATAAAGGGTTTAAAAATGAAGAATGAGGATTTTGACCTTGGTATGCATCCCAATTTTCCCACACACCCCACTCCTCTTGGAGTATGTCAAAATGTATACAATTTGTAGTAGAAATGCTCATAACTGCCTTTGCAACTACTTCCAGAGAGACTGGTTTCGAATCTTTGGGCAAGGCATTGATATGGCCAATGCCAAGACATGAAAGATAAGCTTTTCCTGAAGAAGGCATGAGATATATGGTTTCTTTGTGTCTTTTCATTTACATGTTGCCTTGCTGTTTCTCTTGTATCTTTTCCAGGAGGAAAGGCTCAAGACAAGCAAAGCAGGAAGATACTGTCATCAAAGTAACACAGTTTTAAGCAATTCTGGTAATTGTCCTAGATCTACTGAAAGAGCAAGAAAAAGGAAAAACAAAATCAGTATTCTTCCCACGTACTAGTAAATGTTTTTTTTTAATGAATTGACATATTAGAAAACATGGATCACATTTAAATGTTTGACACTGTATTAGAAAACATGGATCACATTTAAATGTTTGACACGGAACTACTGTCTATATAATAGGTAGTTTAATCAGAATCAGACAGTTGAAGGAAACTGGAATGTCTTGAAAGGAATCCTGATAGGAAATACTTTTGTAGCTATGTATTGCTTTTCCAGGTGAGGTGCTGTTAATTCAGCTTTGTGTGGCTGTGACAAAACACCTGAGAAAGCTCACTGAAAAGGGGCAAAGTGTTATTCAGGCTTTCAGTCCATAGACCCTTGACTATTCAGGCCCTGTGCAGACATCTCCCCCCTCCTGCATAATCCTCTGCCCAGTGTCTGTGTTACCTAGGTAACTGGAATACTTGGTAGCAGTCACCTCCCCTCCTCTGAGGTCACATCCTGGGCTGTCCAGGTCCTGCCTCCCAGCAGAATGTGGGTGGGTTCCAGGCTCTGAGATCTCATACAAATCCAGTGTTTCCACACCTTTTCCACACCTGGCCACACCTTCCCCTGCCCCCCAGTCCCCTGGCCTAGATAAGTCCTGGCCCCTGGGTGGCAGGCCCCTTTTCAGCCCTGTGCTTCTCCACCATGCATGTAGGCAGGCAATTTGAAATAAATAACTTCTCTTCCTGCCTGGATTCCACAGTGGTGGCGTCATTCATTGGGGGCCTACTTTATTTTACCTTACAGTTATACTGCTTCAGAGGTTTGGGGAGGTTGTACCTCATAACAGAAGGGTGTCCTGGAGAAAACCTGTTGAAGTCATTGTGGGCAGGAAGGCTAGAAGGAGGAGGGGCAGGAAGAGGGAAAGAGAGAGAGTTGGAGGGAAATAAAAAGAAAGAGAGATTGCAAGGCAAAGAGAAAGGGGAAATACAAAGAAAGAAAGAAACAAAGAAGGAAGGCAGGAAGGAAAGAAAGAAAGGAAGAAAGAAAGAAAGACAGAAAGAAAGATGGAGAGAGAGGAAGGGAGACCCCAAAGGTAGGAAGGAAGGGAGGGTGGGGAGAGTCAGTGAGTGTTGTAGGGAAGTAAAAAGAAGGGGAGATTAAAAAGCAGAGAGAAGGGATATACAAAGAAAGAAAAAAGAGAGGGAGGGAGGAAGGGAGAGAGAAAGGAAGGGAGAAAGACAGAGCAAAGGATGGAAGGGAGGGAAAGAAATGAAAGAAAAGGAAGGTAAATCTGTGGATGTACAACAATGGAAACCTCCTTTTATAATTAATATAAAGAAATGCAAAATTAAAAAGTTTTCATGTCTATGTTCATCAGAAGTGTTGATCTTTTTGTGTTGTGTTCTTATACAGTTTGGCTATCAGAATAATAAGTCGCATAATGGGCCGGTAGCTTATTCCCTTCCTGTTTTATGAAAGGGACATATCTATTAGCTCTTTAGAGGCTAGTATAAATCTGCAGTGAACCTGTCTAAAAAATTACTATTGGTTCCTGTTAAGATGAAATTGAAACATAATAGCTGTTACCAACAGATAGCAATCTGGACAAAATCCACCTTGTGTTAAATAATAATTTGTAATTATACTATAAACTTGATTTGTTAATTATTTCCTTTCTGTAATACTTCCAAACTTGCTGGATTTAGAGAAAAGCATGTGCCAGAGTCCAAAGCTAAATTCCAAAGTCACTAGAGACAAACACATCCAAAGAAAAGAGAGAGATTGGATGCATTCCAGTTTGCCATTCCTCACTTTTTATTCTTTGAGCTGTTAGTCCTATTCATAAAGTCATGGCCTCTGTTTACATCTTCAGGTATTTCCCTCTAGTAGTTCTAAAGTTTCACAGCAAAGTACAAAAAAGTTTCAGATCCATTTTGAATTGATTTTGTTGTTTGTTTGTTTTTTAGTACCAGTCCTGGGACTTAAACTCCAGGACTGAACACTGTCTCTGACCTTTTGTGCTCAAGGCTAGTAGTGCTCTACCACTTTGAGCCTCAGCTCCACCTCTGGTTTTTGAGTTGTTAATTGGAGATGAGACTCACAGGGATTTTCTGACCCAGGGGTGGCCTCGAATGGTAATCCTCAGATCTCAGCCTCCTGAGTAATCAGGTCTCAAAAAACACAAAATGTTTTGGACATGGAATAATGGGGCACATGAAAATAAATTGTTGAGAAAATAAAAACTCCTAGCAAGGAGTCCTGTAGCAGTTAAATTACTCTCTTGGTGTAGGATGTGTTGCTAGACCCTTCTATAGACTTCTGTTACAAAGTAATATAGGAGAGGTGCCCTTCCTTTCCCCAATTCTCTTTACAGACCCTGGAGACTGAGGCCCTTCTAGGAAAAGGTCAAAGGGCAATTCATAAGCTAATATATCTTGCTAGCTAAGTTGACTAAACATATTCTGTTCTTGGTTATCTTTAAAAGATCCTGGTTGTTGTTGGCAACAATTTTGTGTTGTGTGTTTTGTTTTGTATTTGTGTTGCTTAGTCTTTACTTTTCTAGTGTTAACCACATGATTCTATCATATTGGACAAAACAATGTCATTTGCCACTGGAGATCCAGAAAATGTACACAGCCAATTTTTTTTCTTTTTAAAAAAAATTTTCTTTTTTTGTCAGTTGTGGGGCCTGAACCCTGGGCTTGCTTGGGTGCTGTCCCTGACCTCTTCAGCCCAAGGGTAGTACTCTACCACTTGAGCCACATTGCCACTTCTGGCTTTTTCTGCTTATGTGGTGCTATGGATTCAAACCCAGGGCATCATGCATGCAAGGCAAGCACTGTACCACTGAGCCACCTTCCCAGCCCCAATTTTCAGTTGTAAAACCTAAGTGAGCCTTTAACCTCTTGTACACAAGTGTATGTATGTGTGTGTGTGTGAACATGTCCACAAGTGTGTGTATGTGTGTGTGAACATGTTCAAATCTGACATTTTAATATATAAATGTCATGGTGTGAGAAAAGTAGTCTTTTCTATCTTTTTCTATGTTTTGTGTGATTAAATTTTTAGGTATTGGTAATTCCTGGAATTATTTACTGTTATGACAAGCAGCCAAACAAGGAGAGTGACTCTTGTGTGGATAGAGCTAAAAGAACAACCAAGCCAAAGAAATAAGAAAGCAGAAAGGATAGGAAAGGGGGCTGGGGATGGACCATGGGCTTCAGAACTCACTGACAGCTTCTGAATCTTGATATCCCGTTATTATTTTTTTTGGGGGGGTGTTCCGTTCATGGGCCCTGAACTCTGGGCCTGGGCGCTGTCCCCCAGCTCTTCAGCTCAAGGCTAGCTCTCTACCACTTGAGCCATAGCACCACTTCCCGCTTTTTTCTTTTTGCTTATGTTGTGCTGAGGAATCGAACCCAGGGCCTCAGGCATGCAAGGCAAGCGGTCTACCACTGAGCCACCTTCCCAGCCCCACTCCCCCATAATTTTTGTATTTTTATTTAGTTCAGTACAGAGGAGGTGACCACTGGTAGGGGCAGAGATTAGGGTATCAATGCATCTTTTTTTTTGGGGGGGGGTCTGGTCGTGGGGCCTGAACTCTGGTCCTGGGCACTGTCCCTCAGCTCTTCAGCTCAAGGCTAGCGCTCTACCACTTGAGCCACAGCGCCACTTCCGGCTTTTTTCTGTTTGCTTATGTGGTGCTGAAGAATCAAACCCAGGGCCTTGAGCATGCAAGGCAAACTCTCTACCACTGAGCCACCTTCCCAGCCCTCAATGCATCTTTTGAAGTTACAACCATTAAGGAGAAATGGTTTGCATACAAGTGTTAAGTGAACCCTGTTATTTTAGGAAGCAGAGGGAAGCGATAAACACTCCAACAGAGACTTTTATCTCTAAAGTCTTAAACTTTTGGTACCCAAGCAACTCATACTTAGGGTAGAAAGTCGATCCTTTGTTTTGCTTAGACTTTTTAAAAAATCTTTCCAGGGCCCAGCTCTCAGCCTTCTGGGTACTGTTTGAGCTGGCCTTCCAAGCTTTGAACCCTTTCCAGGTCTCACAACTCCACTCTAGAGTTCCCTACAAATTGCAGGATGTAGTGTTTAGGGCTTGCATTGTATCCATTTCGCACAGGATGGTCCCTTCTCTTGTGTGTGGGGTCTTTCACATTAGGATATTTTTAGGGACTCATTTCTCCCTGGTCTCTATGCATCATAAATGTGATGTTAAGACATCAGGATTGCAGGAATCTTCATAACTTGGAGGAAACAAAATTCCTTTGTTTGTAAGCAGAAAAGAAGTGTGCAGTTTTTGTTTTTGTTTTTTTTTTAATGTCACTAAGTAGCTTAAAAGCCTATTTCAGTCGGGAGGCACCAGTGGCTCATGCCTATAATCCTAGTTACTCAGAAGGCTGAGGTCTGCCTTATTAAAGTTTCTCATGCTTTCTGGATATGCCTCTGAAAGGCAACAAGCTCCAAGTAGTTGAAGAAGTTCACTCTGAAGCTTTAGCAATGATTCTTGACAAGTGAGCTGTCCAACCCCAAACCCAGTAGGTTGGACTGACAGAAACTTTTTTTTCTTTTTTTTCTGTTGTGGGGCTTGCATTCAGGGCCTGGACGTTGTTGCTGAGCTCCTTTTGCTAAAGGCTAGCACTCAAACACTTTGAGCCACAGTGCCACTTCCCATTTTCTGGGGGTTAATTTGGAGACAAGGGTGTCAAGGACTTTGTGACCCATAGATCTCAGCCTTCTGAGTAGCTAGGATTACAGGTGTGAGCCACCAGTGTCCAGCAGAAACACTCTTTTCAAAAACAAAATACTAGCAATCAGAATGAAACAGTATAGGGGCTGGGAAGGTGACTCAGTGGTAGAGCGCTTGCCTTGCATGCTCGAGGCCCTGGGTTCGATTCCTCAGCACCACATAAGCAAAAAGAAAAAAGCCGGAAGTGGCGCTGTGGCTCAAGTGGTAGAGCACTAGCCTTGAGCTGAAGAGCTGAGGGACAGCGCCCAGGCCCAGAGTTCAGGCCCCACGACCGGACCCAAAAAAAAAAAAGAATGAAACAGCATATTACTTATAATCTACACCAAGTGAGATTTATCCCAGGCTTTCAAAACAGCTCAACATATACAAATCAGTAAGTATGACCAATGTCATCAACAGATTGAAGAACACAATATAAAGGAGATCTCAGTAGATACAGAAAAAAAGCAATCAGTGAAATTATAATTAAGACTCTCACTAGGATGACATTGTGCCCAAAAAGAAAGACACTCATTACCTGACTTAGGAAGTAGTAATGCCTCTGTCCGAGGCCCAACAATAATACAATTATATATTTTAAATTCTCAATGAAGTAGGTACAGTTTTGGAACACAATGTAGGTAAAGTGGGTGCAGATGAAGCAGAATTTATATAATAAAATACCAATTGAACTTGAAACACTGATAGTTTTTTTCCCCTTAATATCTGAAATGTGGAAAAGATGAGCACTCACCTCTTTAGCATAAAATGAATATTCATAGCTTGGGTAATTGGGAGAGAAAAGTAAAAATACAAGTTTGGGAAGCAAAAGGTCAAATTGTATCTATTTGTAGATGTAATATTATATACAACAAAACATATTTTTAAATCCTCTGAGAACTAAAAATCACTTCTCTTAAGTGAAAGGACACAAAAAAATCAATCTATAAAAATCAATGCAATTTCTCTACACCAGCAACAACCTACCCAAAGAATGAATCAACAAAGCAACGGCTGTAAAAATATAAGATATTTAGGAATTAGCTTGACTAAAAGGTAGCACTTCTATGATAAAATTGGTGAAACACTGATGAATGAAATGAAGATTTTAAAAAGATAACCTGTTATTCATGAATTTGAATTACCCCAAAATGTATTGATTTGATCCTAACCCCCTCCAAACGTTTCCTTGGTTCCAGAATCAACAATAAAATCTAAATTCTAAAGTCTCTACAAAAAGCTATTAAATCATATGTAGCTCTAACTCAAACACTAGCCTTGAGGGATATAAAAGCTCATGGACAGGAACAGCAGCTAGACTCTTGAGTTCAGGCCCCAGGACCAGCGTGCACACGTGCGCGTACACACACAGATACATTCATGCACACCTTTCAAAGAGTAACTTGTATAGTAAAACAATTCTAGCTAATGGAAATATAATTGTTAATAGATGTTTAGTCTTTTTCAATGACATTTTCTACTGTATTTTATCACCAACTCTTTCCAGTCCATTCTGCATTGAATATCATATATACATACAGACATGAAATATATACTCACATGTGTATACAAATATAAACATACATAGATATACATGCTTACAAATACATAGATGTACGCAAAAATATTTATAACAGAATAATTATGTATTTCATAACTTACTAAATTATGAACTCCTTAAAATGTGTCTTAGCCAAGTGCCAGTGGTTCCCGCTTGTAATCTTAGCTACCCAGAGAGTGAGAGAAGAGAATCATAATCCAGTGTCAGACTGGGTAGAACACTATGAGACAGACTCTTACCTCCAATTAGCCAGAAAAGGCTAGACTGGAAACCATGCCTCAAGTAGAAAAACACCAGACATGAGCAAGAAAGCAAGGTGAATGGATGAACCTAAAATACATCATAAATGAGGTAAACCAAGCTCAGAGAGACACATGGTTTTCTCTCCTATGTAAAAGCTAGATATATCAAAAATATACTGAGCCACACAGTGAGATCCAAGGAGGATATTGTTAGGCGGGAACACAAGGTACAGAGCCTATGCGCCTCTGACCATATAAAATAATATTGATTGAAATGAACTCCGAGAAATGAAAACAAAAGTTTTTTCTTTGTTTTTGTTTTCTTTTTGTCTTGTTTGTTCACTTATCTGTATTTGGGAGGATAAGGGGGAGCACATAAGTGGGGGGACAAAGGGTAAACAAATACAGCAGTGGTACTTACTAGACGCTATGTTGAAAATGAACTATACAATTTGTGTGTTGGGACATGAGGGAAAAACTGGGAGAGAGTGAGGGAAGAGATGACATTGTCCAAAAAGGTATGTACTCTGTACCTGACTTACATGACTGTAATACCTCTGCACATCACCTTTATAATAACAATTAAAGTGTTTATATAAAGAAAGCCAACGGTTTGGGAAGGTGACTCAGTGGTAGAGTGCTTGCCTTGCATGCATGAGGCTATGCGTTCGATTCCTCAGTACCACATAAGCAGAAAGAGCCAGATGTAGTGCTATGGGTCAAGTGGTAGAGCGCTAGCTTTGAGCTGAAGAGCTGAGGGACACAGCCCAGGCCCAGAGTCAGGCCCCACGACGGACAAAAAAAAAAAATAAGAGAGTATGAGTCCCTGAATTTAAGCTCTACAAAAACAAAAAGTTGTCTTTAACTTACTCTCTTTATGCTATTAGAACAGAAACTGAAATTACTATTTGAATCGGTTAATTAAAAAAACTATGCAGTTAGAATTGGCTAACTTCTGGCATCATCCAATATTACCACATGGGGAGAAACATAATTTCAAAAAAAATTTTGCTGTGGTTTGACCAGAAGGAGAAAGGAAGTTATCAATAGGGAAGGAATTTTTTAATTATGTATTTATTATCCTTGGTAGTATAAAAGGATTCAGCATGGCAGTTTCTGAGTATAATTCATCATGATCAGGAATATTCCTGTCATCATTCTCTCTCATCCCTCTCAACCTCATCCCTCCCCTCAATTTTCCTAGTTTCCTAGAATATGCATTAAATATGATGAATGCATTCTCTCCCACTTCCTGTGTGAATTTATCTACCTCCCTCCCCTTGACCTCTCCCATACACATCTCAAGTATTAGCTGTCTGGTATTCATTTTGTTAGACTGTGAGTTAGTGGTTCTAAAGTGTTCCACCATTTCCATTCTCGAAAATCTAGTTATGTGTTTGTGTACATGTGCATATGATCCCGTATGTTTTCCCTTAATATTTACCAATCAGACCTAGCTTCCATCTATGAAAAATAATATGCACCTTTGTTTCTCGGGACCTGACTGACGTCACTCATCATATTTTTTTCAGATCTGTTCATTTTGTTGCAAATGATGTAATATCATTCTTCCTTATGCATGAGTAAAATTCCACAACCTCTGTATACTAGGTTTTCTTGATCCATTCATCCATCGAGGGCATCTGGACTTGTTTCCATATCTTGGATCTCATGAATAACACAGCAATGAGCATGGTTGTGCATGCTGCTTTCCTGTATCCATATTTGTAATCTTCTGGATAAAGGCCCAAGAGTAGTATCAAAGGATCATAGGATAATTCTGTTTAATTTTTTGAGGAATCTCCAAACTGTGTTCCAGAGTGGTTTCACCAGTTCACATTCCCACTAACAATGTATTAGGGTTCCTTTTCCCCACCTCCATGCCAGCATCTGGTTTTGTCTATGTTCTTGATGATGGCCATTCTAACTGGGTTGAAATGGAAACTCAGTGTTGTTTTGTTTTGCTAATTTCTCAACAGAAAGAATTGTACCTCGAGATTGTTTTCATGAGCTCTTTTTAATAAAATTCAGTCCTTTCAAAACATTTTCTGCCTTTAAGAAATATTAAAAATTATTTTAAAAATTACTGGGCGCTGATGGCTCATGTCTGTAATCCTAGCTACTCAGGAGCCTGAGATCATGGTTCAAAGCCAGCCTGGGCACAAAAGTCCATGAGACTTTTATCTCTAATGAGCTACTAAAAAACTAGAAGTGGCGCAGTAGCTCAAGTGGTAGAGTGCTAGCCTTGAGCTGAAGAGCTCAGGGGCAGCAACCAGGCCCAGAGTTCAAGCCAACAAAAAATAAAAATTTAAAGCACTTCACTTTGGAGTCTTATAAATTATGTATTTGTGAAAGAATACATATCAATAGTAGATCTGTTCTGGTTTGTTACTGGGAACCTGGAGATCAATGTCCACAGGTGAATGTGAAACATTGTTCAGGACACAATTATTTTCCAGAAAGTTGATCTTTAACAGATAAAATTAGAGAAAGCCAACCAGTCGAACATTTCTGTGACTTGAAAAATAATCACGAGAGGATACTCATTCTACCGCCTGGCTACAGAAGAGAAAGGAAGTTGGTTCAGGACCAACCTCCCGTCATGTATCCCGTGAAATGGCACTAATTTTCTTTAAGCAGTCTAGATTTTATACTTTTGCCTCCCACTGGAGGTATTTATTTAGACCCAATGGCCTTTCAGGAAATTCTGGATCAAGTTGGAAGCCTGGGAAGATTCCAGATCCTTCAAGTGGCTTTTCTTATGATATGTAATTTCTTGGCCTTCATTCATGTTCTATTGGAGAACTTCACGGCAGCCGTGCCTGAGCACCGCTGCTGGGTGCACATCCTCGACAATGACACGCTCTCTGACAATGGCACTGGGCTCCTCAGCCAGGAGGACCTGCTGAGAATCTCCATCCCACTCGACTCCAACCTCAGGCCAGAGAAGTGCCGGCGCTTTGTCCATCCCCAATGGCAGCTCCTCCACTTGAACAGCACCTTCTGGAACCTGAGTGAGGCAGCAACAGAGCCCTGTGTGGACGGCTGGGTGTATGACCGCAACTCCTTCATCTCCACCATCGTGACCAAGGTAGGAAGCTTCATTTTCCAGTTAGGAGTTCAGGATTTGTGTGTTTAGAAATAACACAAATCCTTCCCACACTTTAAGGTGATTCTTCTTTCTTTTAGCCAATACTGACTGCATTTTTATTAAGTACAAGACACATATACAATGAGTCTAGTGAATTTGACAGTAGATAGTAAATAGACACTATTAATACAGAGCATAAGCAACTCATGTGTTTCATTAAAAATGTTAGGCTCAGTCCATGTTACACAAATGTGTTTATACATTAGCAACTTCCTGGAGATTGAGCAAATCTACATGCTCACAATGTTCTTTTAGGAGAATCATCTGGAGGATCTACTGTGATAGTCAGGATTCAGAAAATGCTTTAAGGTCCCCCAATGAATTCAACATGGATTAAAGGGGATCATTTCCATAGTAAACCTATTCGTTTAAAGGAAGTTTGCTGGAGACAGTTAAGTTTTAACCTAAATGAGAGAAGTCTTGTTAGGTTGAAAAAGGAAACTTGTAGGTCATGTTAGACAGATTTGCTCAGATTACACTGAGAGACTATAAACTCTGTTGTGCTCATTTCCTTCTCTTACAGTGGGACCTGGTGTGTGAATTTCAGTCACTAACTTCAATAAGTAAATTCATATTGACACTTGGGATTTTTTTGGGAAACACGCTATGTGGCCATTTAACAGACAGGTGAGTTTCTGGTTCACAGTACTCTCTGTTAGAGGCCATGAAGATCTTACATGGAAGCTGGGCACTGATGGTTCATGCCTGTAATCCTAGCTACTCAGGAGGATGAGATATGAGGATGACAATTCAAAGAGAGCCCAGGCAGGAATGTCTGTGAGATTTATCTCCAATAACCTACTTAGAAAAAGCCAGAAGTGGTGCTGTGGCTCAAGTAGCAGTGTGCTAACCTTCAGAAAAGAAGCTCAGAGACAGTGCCCAGGCCCTTAGTTCATGAATAAGCCAAAAAAAGGAAATCTTATCTTCCGTAAACTACTCAGAAAAAGCCAAAGTGGTATTGTGTGGTTCAAGTGGTAGAGCACTAGCCTTGAGAAAAAGGATCAGGGACAGTGTACAGGCCCTGATTTCAAGACCCAGGACTGACCAAAAAAAAGGAAAAGAAAAGAAGGCTAATCCACGAAAGAAGGTTAAAGGTGGCTAGTACACCAAGGACTCAGGTATAGCATGAGACAGACCTACATATATGTTATGATAGTCTCAGAAGAAGAGAGAAATGGATAGAGATTTGAAGAAAATGCGCCCTATCAGTGGGAAACCACATATAAATCCAAAGAGGCTCAATAAAATCTAAGTAGATAATGTCTATATCCTACACTGAGATATATCGTAAGCAAAAAAATATTAGAAATTAAACGTAGAATCTTGAATGAGGAAAAATGCTTATATAATAAATTGTTGGCTGAATTTCCTTATCACCTAACATAGCATTCCAGCATCCTCCTCTCAAGAAGGGGTTCTTCTAGTGTTTTCCCTATGCAGTTCTAAACTAATATGTAATTTCTCAAGTATAGCTTGCTTGCTTGCTTGCTTGCTTTTTTATGACAGTACTGGGATTTGAGTTCAGGGCCTGAATGCTATCCCTGAGCATTTTTTTTGCTCAAGGGTTAGTGCTCTACTCTTGAGTCACACCTCCACTTCTGGCTTTTTATGGTTCAGTGGAGATAGGCTCATGGACCTTCCTGGCTGGATAGGCTTTGAATTGTGATTCTCAGATCTCAGCCTCTTGAGCAGCCATAAGTATAGGTATAAGTCATCGACATGCGAATCTATACATATTTGCATTTTGACTGAAACTGTTTTGTGACTTCCTATAAGTCTATGAAAGTCAGAACTCCATTTTCCTTTCTTTTTTTCTACAGACTTTCCCTGTTATAGTTCTTCATTCCTCATCTTGTTTAGTGTTTTCCTCTGCAGATTTTCTGAGCATTCTTTGCTCTGCACTGAGACTTTCTTCCTTCCTGTTCTTGAAAGTGGCATGTTGTTCACGACCAAGAAAGCCAAATTCAGCAGAGGATGATTCTGATGCCACTCATAAGAAAAATCCCATGTGTTGTTTCCCCAGTGTTCCCATTGCTTTGGTCAAGAAATGTACAGTCCTAGAGTTCCACATCTGATTTTGATACTTTATTGTGTAGACAATATGATAGGCTAAGTCCATGTCTTTAAGTACCTGTTTTAAATGTATTAGAAGTTCCAGTATTGTAACTTATCTCCTATGTTGTGAATATGTAGTTAAACTACTGTTTACCAATGGGAGAAGCGCCTTTGGTATACACAGGTCAGGTTTACGTATATGAAGATCTGTGTGGTTTTTTTTTCCAACTTCGTTCAGCCTCCTCTATTTTACCTGCCAGTACTATTTGTTCTGTTTCTGAAGTCACACAAAGAAATGAATGAGGAGAGTACAATTCAGATTTGAGCAAGAATACAAATAAATTTCTTGAGTCTCTCATCCCAGGATCCCTTAAGAAAGAGGAAGAAACCTCAAACCTGTGTATAGAGCCTCACTTTGGAAAAGCTCTGGGAATGGATCAGGCATCAGCCATTCCTAAGGGTTTTAACACTCATCAGAATCCTCTCCCTCTGTGGTCTACATGACCTCAAGCTCTAAGTGCTGCAGAACCACTCTCCCCTACACCTAGGAGACCACACCTTTCTACTGTCTCCATCCCTCTATGGTCCTATGGAACCAGGCCCTCTATGTCTTAAGAGACTCTTCCCATTCTCCTTCCCACAGAGCCACGCCCCTATGTCTTACAAGGCTTCTTCCCTCTACATCCTTCCCTCTACATCACCTTCTATGGAATTCCCACCCCCCACATCCTCACCAGACTCCCTGCTTGAGCATCTGGTTCCACTGGGGTGCTCCAGCCAGGAGTGTCATGCTCCAGCCTGGACACTCTCTTGGGATGTCCTCTTCTCTCTTTAGATATTCTACTCAAGCCAAAATGTCTTATAGGGTAGAAAATTGGTCTTAATGGCCCAGTCTTTTGGCTTGTGCCTTCTAGAATGGAACACAGGCTGGATCCCAGGTTCCCTCTCAAAGGCTAGCAATTTGGGGTTGGAAACCAGATCTAAAATCAAAAGAAAAGTATCTGCTTAGAAATTTAGTCTCAGTATCAACTGGACAATATCAAAACAAACAAACAAAAACCTAAACTGCTTAGAAATTTGGCCTAAGTACCAATTGAATGAATGCAATCACTGACCCAATAAGTGCCAGGGACTCATGCCTGTAATCCTAGCTACTGAGGAGGCTGTGATCTAAGGATCATGATTCAAATCTAGCCCAGGCAGGAAAGGCCAGGAGACACTTATCTCCAGTAAACTACTCAGAAAAATCCAAGTGGCACTGTGGCTCAAAGTGGTAGAGTACTAGCCTTGAGCAAAAGAAGCTCAGGGACAGCTCAAAGGCCCTGAGTTTAAGCCCCAACGCCAGCAAAAAAAAAGAAAAGAAAAAAAAAAAAGAAGGGTATAAACAGTGCCAGCTGAAGGATGTGTCAAATACAATTAGCCAGGTCTCCCAGGATTATCTCTGCTAAGCCAGCAAAACACAACAAAGAGCCATCCCCATGGCTTGGGGAATTGTGGTTCATAGCTAGGCAGGCAAGAAGGTCCGTGACACGCATCTCCAATTAAGCAATAAAAAGTCAGATGTGACTCAAGTAGCTTAGCATTAGCCTTGAACAACAACAAAGCCATTGCTGTTGGTTATTTCTGATTATTTGTAGTTTTAAGAAACTTTGTGTTTCTTTGTGCAACAGCTGTTCCAGTTCCCACCATCTAAGCTTTGTCTTTTCCTCAGGTTTGGAAGGAGGCTGATTATCATCATCTGTGTGCTGAATTTGGCCATTGCTGACACATGCGCAGCCTTTGTTCCCACCTTCCTCCTTTACTGTGTCTTGCGCTCTCTGGCTGGTCTGTCCATCACAGTCATCCTAACAAACAGTACGGTGCTCAGTAAGTACTTCTTCCCACCATGTGCATTTTCCTCACCTTGAATGCGAACTTAATACTCTACTTTGGTTTGAGATGAAAATTCACTGGTGCTGTCTTTCAGGTGTAGAATGGACAGGACGCAAATTCCAAGCCATGGCGGTGCTCTTATTATTATGTTCATTTGGCTTAGGACTAGTGTTGTTGGGAGGCCTGGCTTATTTTGTTCGAAATTGGCAGAACCTTCAGCTTGCGCTGTCTATACCTGTCTTCTTCTTACTTCCATTCACAAGGTATGAGCTTTCTTTTTGAAGAGATCTTGAATGAAGGACATAAGAAATTCATTTGGATCCTTGATCAACTTCTGATATTGTGCTCTCCTTATTCATAGCAATGTGTGACTTGAGCAACGGGACAAAAAGTGTTGTTAGGTAAAATTGAGGAAATTGAATTATGTTTGAAGTTACTATGTCAGCAAATTGCAACAGATGCAGTCATATTAAAAATTATTTATGAGATGAAATTCCGTTTAAAGGAGGGTTCTAGGACTAAGATTGTGGCTTAGTGGTAGAGTGCTTGCCTAGCATTTATAAGGCCCTGGGTTCAATTCTTCAATAACACATAAACAAAAAAAATTAAAAAAAATAAATACAGGAGGGTTCTGTACTAGATAAAATATATCTCACAATATTCAAATTAGAGATTAAAACATTTTATTGTAAGCACATACAAAATTCAGTATCGTTATAAAAAATAGTATAGGCTATTTGAATTTCAAATGTGAAGGTGTTTATTCTAATTACTAAAATAAGCATCTCTATGACCCAAAAGTGGCTATGAATCGTCTCCTGAATGTTACAGATCTTCTTGGCTGTCCTTGCCAGTAGACTTAATTGGTAAGATGGTAATAGAACTTTTGCAAATGTATTTTCCTTCATGGGGAAAACATTTGAAGATGGTATTTCTTTGTCTATGGTTTGCATTTGTATGTATGGTTTGGGAAAAAAAACACAGGGGTTATTGTCTTTGGAGGTGATATTAGGTGACAGAATTGCGACGCAAATGTACCTCTAGTGCTGTTCAATTATGGAACAATATGGATTCCTCAGTTGAAAATCATAGGCAGAATGGACAACTTACATCCTTTGTTTTTAGATCCTCTTCCTTTCCTCTCCTTAAAGAGACTTGAGAGAGTTAAAAAGGGCTATGGTGTTAGTTCAGGACAGAAAGCCTCTTGAGTTAGGAGTGATCCTCAGAAGTGACTGTCGATTTCATTAATACTGTGAGCAAAATCCAGATAAACAGCATGTGTCCTTTAGCAAACTCATCCATTGTCACATTTGTCCTCCACAAATCTTTGTAATTCTGTGCCCTCATTAAACTAAGGCCAATTTATCTTGCTGGTGTTCCAAAAGTTACCACAGCCACGAGGATCAGAACTGGCTCCCATCTGAATGAGACATTTAGTAAAAATTAATAATAGTTAATTGGGGTATCCGTATTTCAGGGAAATATGAGTGTCCCTCATACACCAGCTCTGTGAGCTGGGTAGTCAATTTTCACAGAACTCACCATGGAGTCAGCATGACTCTAGGCCTGCATTCCCGGAAGCCCAGAGTATCATGTGCAGAGGTCATTTCCTGTTTCCCGAGGTATGATGACACATGACGCAAGTTCTTGGTCCACCTGAATAAATGGAAGGGATGAGAATGAAGGAGAAAGGAATCTGAAGGTTGAAGGGGGAGTGAAAGTGAGCGTGTGAGAGTTGACTGCATTTCCATCATCGTCTTTGGTCAGGTGTCTGGCAGAGTCTGCTCGGTGGCTGATTAGCACCAACAAACCCCAGGAAGCCTTAAAGGAGCTGTGGAGAGTTGCCCGCATAAATGGAATGAAGAATTATAGAGACACGCTAACTGTGGAGGTGAGTGAGATGGCTGTTGGTTATAAGACACAGGGAAGACATAGCCCAACATGTGTACTCCTTAGTGACAAAGATGAACTAAAAGCGTTGGACATGTATATTCTTATTTGAAAGAAGTTAAAAGCACTCTATTTATTCCTTTCCCTTGAATATAATTTATGAAACACCCACCACAGAATTTTATTGTTACATTTATTTAATTCAGTTAAAATGTCTCGAGTTAATGCAGTTGTATATGGGATGCTTCCTTGAGCTATTTTCCTACCTGCACCTGATGTCCTCTGAACAACTTCACCCTCCAACATAATTCAATGTTTAATTGAAAGATAACCTTGTTGGTTTTTTAATTATTACAATGTAATAATATATATGTATACATTTAGCCTTTGTATTCTGAATAAATATACACGTATTGATTATCGAATCATTCAAAGCTGCTAATTGGCCCCCAGCTAATTGACCAGCAGTGCTGCTGTGTCTCAAAGTGGTAGAACACTAGCTTTGAGAGAAAAAGCTCAGGGGCAGTGTATCTTATTTTTTGAAAAAAGCCACAGAGAATCTTTGAGAACAGAATGGGAAAGAGGTTTTGGCAGAAAGGGGGAGCAGAAGGAGGAAACTGAAGAAACAGAACAAGAGTTATTTAAAACTGGGCTAAATAAACAGTAATATGGACAGAGGTCCTGAAATCTGCATAGCAAACACACACTCAACTCGGGGCTGGGAAGATGGCTCAGTGGTAGAGCGCTTGCCTTTCATGCCTGAGGCCCTGGGTTGGATTCCTCAGCACCACATAAGTAATATAAAAAAAAAGACAACCGGACCCCCCAAAAAAGAAAATTCTCTCATCTCCCAGGCATTTGGTCACAACCCAACGGCAGAGAGCCATTGTCTAAGACCTTGTGTGGACATCTCAACCCCACCCCATCATTTGGTCTGAGAGAACACAGCAAGGATTGTGGGGGCCGGGGGGGGGTCTGTTGTTTATTTGTGTGCTGACTGGGAAATCTAACATAGCTGCACAGGAAAGCCAGCGAGGCGGGGAGCTCTGCGGGATTGGAAGCTAGTCAAAGTTGTACTGGGTGGTACAAATTGCTTCCCATCTGGGCAGTGGGCTGGGAGGAGGACACACTGCAGGCTAGAGCTCATCCCATGGGACATTCTGCATCTCTGGTGTGCAGCTCAGTTTCCCTATAACCACACACTCTGGTTGGTGGAAAATACAGGAAGCTGAAGTAGCACACATACTGACCTCACCAAGCAAAGAAATAACAGTTGGGCCAGGAGCTGGTGGCTGATGTCTGTAATCCTAGCTACTCAGGAGGCTGAGGTCTGAGGATCATGG